TCATAGTGGACAATTCATTCTCGAGTTATGCGCCGTCTGGCGTACGAAAGTTTGGCATACATATACATAGAAATATTTATTTTTAATAAAAATCAGGGCTTATATTCGATGTAAATAAGCTTGTTTAAATTAGATAATTTTGGTTTTAAATTACCTCCATTCACTTTTATCCACACCGTTTTGTGGAATTTAGCTACCATTTTAGGAAGTGTGATTGAATTCTTTCCCTTTTCTCCTGCATCTAAAAACTATCCCTGTGGGTGGGAGCGTCAAAGTTTAGAAAAAAGCTACTTACAAAACCTTTAGTAATTGAATCATGCGTTCAGATAACATATCGGCTGCGTTTCTTTATACATCCCGGATAATCCCATTTCACAGCCGGAATAAACAGAATGCGTTTGAAATATACATCAACGTATTATCAGGAACGTTCTAAAGAATAAATAAACAAAAAAGTGTACTCCAAACGTTCATAATGAATAAAGAAATGCAGCCATCGTGTTATTTTTTTCAATTTTCCATAATAAACAAATCATGGTACAACGCTCATTAAAAATATTAAAATAAAAATGTTAATAAGCACCAATAAAATTGATAAATATATAGTTTAGGATGAGCCTAGGGATGAGACGATACCATGGAGATATTTTTACTTCAAATTAGTATCGTAAGAAAGTATCGATACACGAAAAATGTCGGATCTAAAGTATCGATACCTACTCGTATCGGTACTTTTGTCTATGAAGGTATTCCGTATGAGCTGGAATTCTAAACTCCGAATAATAAAAGTTTATAAGTTGACAAAATTTCAGGTTTATACCTCTTATAGTAAAAATTAACGGATTTTATATGGCGAGTTCTTAGAAAGCTTACATTTCGATAAAAAATTTCTGGGATATGTTGAACATTCTAGGATTTTCTTTGGCATCCACGCTTTGCTCCCTACTCTTTTCTCCTTTGCTTCTTTTTTAAATAATAGAGCTAGTCTCCACCACCTTTATTATTATCTGATAATGTGTTCAGAGCGAAGAACAATAGTGGTTTTGAAAAAAAATAGACAAAACCAAACGAGAAGAGATAGCGAATTAACTGTAACGACGTTTAGAAGCTTTTGAGATGGGATATTCAGGAAAAATAGTCTCGAGTGGTAGAATTAACATTTATAACGACTTTCTAAAATAGATGGTTAAAATATTTTCCTTCTTTGGACTGAAACCAGTTCGAAATGAAGTGTTAAAAAAGTTTTAAACCCATATCTCTTTGCATTTTTATTCTTTTGACTTAAGAACAGCGTGCAATTAGCTAAAAAAAAAATGTTTAATAGATTTTGTGGTATTTTGCCACCACGAAAATGGATTCCCTGGTTTTGAAGGGCGCTGGCGTTAAAAAGGCATTCCAAAAATTCGCATTGGTATCGGATTTCGAGACGAGTATTGGTTTTGATATTTACACAGTACTTGGTTCAAAAGTATCGATGCAAAAATTACTTAGTATCGAAAGAAAAGTATCGAGTGCGTACTTGTATTTACTGGTATCGTTTCATCCCTAGATTTGCCTGCCTGAAACTATACATACAATAAAGAAAACTAATGTATAAAATTTACAATAACGCTGTCAAGATAAAATAGCGGAAAATCAGGGTTGGCTTTCCTTTCGTTAAAGCGGCGGTGGGCTATAGGTAAGTGGGCGTGGCACCTATAACACGCCTTTTTGGAATAAACGCAAATGAAAATTGTGATTTTTGGCAATTTGTCTAAGGGGTCCCTAGGGAACCATAGGGAACCTAGGTGGTCGGGGGTTGCATTTTTGACAATGGCGGTTCATTCCCTCTCCAAAAAGGCGTGTTATAGGTGCCACGCCCACTTACCTATAGCCCACCGCCGCTTTAACGAAAGGAAAGCCAACCCTGATTTTCCGCTATTTTATCTTGACAGCGTGGTTGTTATTGTAAATTTTATACATTAGTTTTCTTTATTGTATGTATAGTTTCAGACAGGCAAATCTAGGGATGAAACGATACCAGTAAATACAAGTACGCACTCGNTATTGTAAATTTTATACATTAGTTTTCTTTATTGTATGTATAGTTTCAGGCAGGCAAATCTAGGGATGAAACGATACCAGTAAATACAAGTACGCACTCGATACTTTTCTTTCGATACTAAGTAATTTTTGCATCGATACTTTTGAACCAAGTACTGTGTAAATATCAAAACCAATACTCGTCTCGAAATCCGATACCAATGCGAATTTTTGGAATGCCTTTTTAACGCCAGCGCCCTTCAAAACCAGGGAATCCATTTTCGTGGTGGCAAAATACCACAAAATCTATTAAACATTTTTTTTTT